TGTCTTTCTCTGTCTAACTTATTTCACTTAGCATAATACCCTCTAGGTCCATCTATGCTGTTGCAAGTGATAAGATTTCATTCTTTTTCATGGCCAAGCAATATTCCATTTTATATATGTACCACCATGTTTTTATTCACTCGTCTATTGACGGCATTTGAGTTGCTTCCATAGCTTGGCTACTGTAAATAACGCTGCAGTGAACATAGGGGTGCATGTATCCTTTTGAATTAGTGTTTTGGGTTTCTTCAGAAGTGAAATTGCTGGGTCATAAGGCAGTTTCATTTTTAATTTAAAAAAATATATATATCTATTGATTTCAGAGAGAGGGAGAGGGAGAAAGATAGGAACATCTGTGATGAGAGAGTCGTTGATAGACTGCCTCCTGCATGTCCCCTGCTGGGGGTTGAGTGTGAAACGTAGGCATGTTCCCTGACTGGGAATCGAGCAGCGATCTCCTGGATTCTAGGTCAATGCTCAACCACTGAGCCATGCCCAGCCCGGCTCATTTTTAATTTTTTGAGGAACCTTCCATACTATTTTCTGTAATGGCTGCACCAGTCTGCATTCCTACCAACAGTTCATCAGGGTTCCCTTTTCTTCACATCCTCGCCAACGCTTTTTTGTTGTTATATTGATGATGGCCATTCTGATGTAAGGTGACGTCTTATTGTGGTTTTAAGTTGCATTTCTCTGACAGAGATGTTGAGCATCTTTTCAGGTCTACTGGCCATCTGTATGTCCTCTTTGAAGAGGTATCTTTTCTGGTCCTCTGCCCATTTTTCAATTGGATTGCTTGGGTTTTTGTAGGATATAAATTTTGGATATTAACACCTTAGTGGATGTAGCATTGGCAGATATCTTCTCCCATTCAATAGATTGTCTTTTCATTTTGTTGATGGTTTCCTTTGCTCTTCTTCCCCAGGGGTTCAAAGGCTCTCCCACTGTTTAGAGAGGCTTTAGCCAGAGACCTGTGAAGTTCAACTGGACAGTGGAGCACTACTCCAATATGTAGGTGGTATCTTCAGCACAAGCATTAGTAAAGTGGCCTCTGACAAAAATACTACTCTAACCCTAAACTTCCAGGCTGAACGGTGATACAGAGTCTTCCAGATGAAAGTTCAAACATTCAAACCCTCTGTTAAATACTTGGGATTTGAATTATCTCAGGGGCAAAGGAACTTGCTTCCTGATAGGAGAGAAGCCTTGGCTAGGGTGGCAGTGCCTACAAGCCGCAGATAGTTAAGAGGAATTTTAGGAATGGCTGGTTTTTGTAGGATCTGGATTCCAAATTTCATCTTAACTGCAAAACCGTTATACGAGGCACTAAAAGGAAAAGATCAAGAGCCTCTGACGTGGACTAGGGAATGTCAGAAGGCCTTCCAAACTATTAAAGTTATTAAACGACCCGGCCTCAGGCCTCCCAGGCTTCAGAAAGTCATTTGACCTGTTTGTGCATGAAAACCAAGAAATAGGACTGAGGGTATTACCCCCAAATCTTGGAAATGTTGAGGCTAGTAGCCCACGTATCAGAGCTGTTGGACACGGTGTCTCAGGGACGGCCAGATTGTCTAAGGACCATGGCTGCCACCTGCGACTGCGTACAAGAAGCTGAGAAGTTTGCTCTGGGACAGCCCACCGCAGTGTGACCTGGAACTCCATTTGGTTGGTGGTAAAGAAGCCAGTGGTGTTGACAGGAGCCCAGGGGCCCCGTCACTCAGGGATAATTGGGTCACCTGTAATGCTCCTCATCCTCTGTACTGCTCCTTGCTCCTCTTTGTCCTGTTCTTTGTTTAAACTTGGTCAGTTTTTGCAACCAGTAACCTCTTGCTTACAGTAAGCACATTGTTTGGGGCCTACTTGGGGGCAGGCCTCTGGTTCCCAGCGCCCCCGACCTTGTTTGTTGTCTTCTCTGGCCCTCTGGTGGTCAGAGCAGCAGCCAGCAAGTCAGACTGTTCCTTCTCTTTGGTTTTTCTTCCCCCCCCCTCCCCCCCCCACAGGCCTGGTCTCTGCTATTGAACAAACTAAAAGCAGTCTCCACCAACAGGGACAGAGGCATTCCAAAGGACCCTCAAACTTTTGAAGCTTTCTTTGGATATTGGGGTACTCTGCCCCAAAGTAGTCATGTTCACGACCTTAACGTTTTCAGGGGCCTCTGGATGTACCATCAGTATTTTAGCGACTAGCCTCAAAGATACATGCTAGGAATTGGGGTGGGTTTTTGTCTGGATGCTGCTTTGGCCACTGGACCTTACTAAAAATTTCTTTGGGCATTCCCTTCCTTAACGCAACCAGAGTGCAATTCCTGTAGTGTTCAAGCTTTCGCTGATCCCCATCGTTTACATTCTAATGTGGCTCGGTAGTAGGGACAGCAGTTGTGGCTTCAGCTCACACAGGGTGTGGGGGTGTCTCATTGTGCAGGTGATGAGCTTTTCCCCTGGTCTTTTCTAAGATAACCCACCATTCTTTGGCAGTAAGCAGGGTGTTCAATAGATGTTAAATATCTGCCCAAATCAGGTTATGAGTGTCACAAATGGGGGGTGGGGGATGGATTTTCTCTCTTTCTAGGATCGTCCCTGCAGGCAGGCATATTGTTTTTCCAGTTAAAGAGGTCAGAAGTTGTGAAGGCAGTATACATTCAGACCAATCCTGCTATACTTGCCTGTTATCATCAATTCCTCCAGTTGGCCTTATTGGGAACTGCACTGCCTGGAGTGACCCCCTGACCAAATTGGGTACCCTGCTGGATGAGAGATGGGAAGACCATTCCAGAGCTTGGCAGAGCTCTTTCTGTAGCCAGAGATAGTGGGGCAGGGGAGGGGCTGCAGCTGCACTGTTGCCATAGAGTGGGGAGTGGCCTTGGCTGCCGAAACATTAATCTGGAGTAAGAATACTAAGTCGCCTTCCTTCTCCTGGCATTCTTGTAAGACTTGTCTGGTTCCCCACCCTGGTGTATCATAATTTTACATTTCATTTGAATGGGCTTATTCTGGTACAAAAGCATAAACGCTGTACTTGGTGATTTCATCTCGTCTTTCCTCTGTTTTACAAAATAACTCAAGTTGCAAGATGATACTGTAGTTTAAGGACCCAGGCTCTGGCCAGTTTTCTCCCGACTCTAGAGCAGACTGTGACCATGTCATATTACAGAGGGGAAGCATTTTCTTTTTCTCCATTGGTCCATAGCCCAGCATGGCCCAGTTTTGTTAGATGCATCCCAGGGAGCTGCACCGGGGGGCAGAGTTAGACATACAGTTCTCCACCATAGTATAGAGTATGGAACTTTTTCTCGCAACATCAGCAACAAACCAAGTCATTTTAAAGAGATAATCAACCTCTAGTTTTGCACTAGCTTAACTTTTGATGTTTTTAATTCACTTACTTGATTAGATTTCTTTCTGTCTTACTCAACTTGACCACACAAAATTTCCTCTCAGGTTTTCACAGAGTTTCTACAACTTTTCTAATTCCTATCAGTTTGTCTCTTCTTACTCATTCGGAAGTCATCATCCTTAGTTTAGGACAAACTTCTTTCCTCCGATTCCCTCAAAAATGTATTTCCTTACCTTGTACCTTCTTTGACACAGAAGGCAGTCTGCCAGCAGTTTGTGGCCGTCAGTGTATCTATTTTCAGTTCCTAATAATGTCTAGGGGATTTTAGACAAAGACCTGCTGCTTTTTGGTAAATGTATTTTTGATCCTAGAGAAAGTGACTGCAAGTAGGAATGAAAGTTAGGGATTTTAGGTTATTGTGATCTTAATGTATTTTTAGGAAGTTATCATTGCCTTAAACTGCATTAATTAACTAATGTCTCTAGAATCTAGAACATATGGTAGTTAAATCACAACCTGAAATAATTTTATCAGAGTAATACTTAGGGCCATATAAAATAAATTCAATCAGTCTGCGAAACCACAGCCATTTTGTGGGTACTGGTCCATGAATTTTATCAGTGGTTATAGTATGTCTGGAATTCTTTAGGAAAGAATAGGTTTCTCTGTGCTTGGCAAGAGATGACTTTCTGCAAGAGTGTTGACAAGGAAATAGTGATAATGACAACTGACAAATTTGAGTGATTAAGGTTGGGTATATTATATAAAATAGAGCTCAGCGAGCTACAGCCCACTGACCAAATCCTTCCAGCAGCCTGTTTTGTATGGCTCTAAACCTAAGAATATTTTTGTGGGGTTTTTTTTCATCTTTAAGAGTTGTAAAACAAAAACAAAGAATATGCCACAGAAACCTTATGTGTCTTGCAAAGCCTGAAATATTTACTATCGGTCCTTCACAGAAAAGAAGTCTGCCAACTCCTGATAAAATTTTGGACTAATGATAAAGTAGATAACACTAAGATCTTTTGCAACCAAGAAGACTTAAGACCAAGGACAGAAAACACCACAGATAGTTCAGTATATGGAAATTATGTGATTATATGCATTAGGCTTATTTTCAAGACTAGGGTTCAAAGCTGTGTAGAAAATTGCAATTAATAATCAATTATTTAGGCCAAAGGGGACCTATTTTTTAACTAAGTAAACTTGGAAGACATTTAAGATTAATGATAGTTAACAGTTATTGCTTGCTAAATTAAAGCCAATTTTATCTCCTTGAGCATAGTGACTCCTGCTTGGGGAAGCAGCCAGAAAGCCTGCTAGAAAAAGAGGCGCAGGAAAAAACTAGTCTGGGACTAAGAAGTTAACCATTGTATAAAGAGACAAACAGGAAAACCGCTAATTATCTGCATGTCAAAGGAGTTGTGTGTTGCTTTTCATGCTCCATTCCTTTATACTTAATCTAACCACAAGGACAAGATTTTTTAAACTGCATTTGACTGAAGTGCTTTATTGGTAAGAAAATAACACCACCATTGACACTAGTTTAAAATAAGTGATGATCATTTGGAAAGGGTGGCTATCTGATGATTTATAATTTTCCTTATATTTTTAGTGACTGGATGTGGTTTTTTTATATGTTCCTTTTTGGGACAGCAGATATTTTGAAGGCTATAATAGCTTATTTTTGTGACTATTCTGACTTTTTTTTATTTCTCATAATTAATAATAAAACATTCTGTCTAGAGGTAATTTTTATTCTCAACCTTCCCATTTCCTCAAACTTTAAGCTATTTGAAGTATCTGTAATTGAGATGTTCCATTTTGTCTTACATATATTTATTTATTTCTGGTTTGTAACTAAGTGAATTTTTTTATTTTCAGATGATTCTTTGGGATTGGGACTTAAAGCAATGGTATAAACCTCATTATCAGGTAAATATATTATTATCACTAATAATATGTATAATGAAACTCTTGACATTTAGTTACATTCACAAGATTGCTAGGATATAGGATTTTCTTTACCTAAACGAAAATAACCAGAACGTTCATTTAGGCAGATTACAACGTTTTAATTGTAAGGAATAAAGGAAATGGTAAGAAACCAAGCATATATGGTTACTTTTAAATGTTGCTAAAGTAATCTGGACTCAGAATAAACTAATTAATTCTATATTAAGGATGAGATTTTTTTTCTGATTGTGGGCAACTGATCCACACAGGGGAAAAAGTGGATTAAAGGCCATATATGAGAAAAAACAAGGCAATTGGCAAAACATTTTATCAGGGAAGCAAAATCTTTTTGCTCTTTGGTAAACTTTTTATTGAATTATACATACAGAAAAGTGCACAGCTTGATGAATTTTCACAAACTAAGTACCCCATGTGACAAGTACCCATATCAGGAAGGAGCACATGACCAGCCAGCACCCCAGAAGCCTCACTTATGCACCATTCTGATTACTTACATCCCCAGAGATAATCTCTATCCTGACTTTATTCTGTTTTGCTTATTTGTGAACTTTATATATATAAATGGAATCATTTAATATGTACTTTGCAAAGATTTTTGTGATCACTTAAGTAATATATGTTTGTATCAGAAGAACTGAAAGTAGAAGTATAGGAGAAAAAAGAAAAATCACTCGTAAACATCAGGCAATAACTATGTTAACTTTTGATACGTATATTTCCAAACCTTTTTCCATTTCCATTGTATTAAAATGTGTGTTTGTATATTCTGATGTCATATCCAAGATCCTCAGTTTTCAGAGTATCTAAATTATTGGTAAAATCGAAAGATAAACAAGGAACAATGGTTCAGATCATTGGCTTGTAGTCAGACAGACTCGTTTTGTGATATCAGGCACCGCTGTCCCATTTTTCTCTTCCTAACAATTCTTTTATTAAATCTGAAGTCTGACATTCATAAATAAAAGTGGACAGGTCATAAGTGTACAACTTGATGGATTTTTCTCCAAATGAGTAGGTACATGTGACCATCCTAAAGATGAAGAGCTTGGTACCCCAAAAGCCCCCTTATGCTTTCCTCCTAGTCATCAGCTTCTCCCCAAATGCTGTCGCATTCCTGGGTTTCTCATCACAACTTGATTTTTCCCGTCTTTGAATTTTATATAAATGCAATCAATCACACGTGTTTCCTGGTTTGCTTCTTTCAGAACTTTGTGAGATGAACGCATATCGCTGCACACGATGCTGTGACCTTACACAGTACGGCCCCTTTCCTCTCTCTGGCCTCATCATCCAGCACTTTCTCCTTCACTTGCTCTGCTCCAGCTAACACTGGCCTCCTTGTTTTTGCAAACGAGCCAGGCAGGCTTCTGCCTCTGTCTTCACACTCGCTGGTCTCTCGGCCTGGAATGCCCTTTTCCCACACCTCTGTCATGTCTTAACAAATTGCCGCCTTACGCTCTGAAGTTTCTGTGCCCTCCATCACTTCCTTTCCCCTTCCTTGTTCCATCTTTTCTCTTCAGTCTGCTCAAAAGCCCACGATTCTCCATGGCCCATATTCCTTAGCCTGGAATCCAGTGTTCTCAAAAATTTGGTCCCAACATGCCTCTCCAATCTTACTTTCCACTGCTCTTTTTAAAATTTTAATATAGCCTGTACTTCAATAATTTTATATTTTCTGTACCTTGCTATTTTACCACTTTTATACCTTTATTTATGCCCCTTCTTGAAAAATGAACTCCCCCAAATACATTTCTATTTTTTATTGTAAAACATTATTTCCCCAATCTTTATACATAAAATCCTACCAAGTGCTACCTCTTCCATAAAGTTTCTCTTAACCCTTCATATTAAAGTTATATTTCCTTTGAAGTCCAATACCTTTTTGTCTGTACCTTTATGTCATCACTTTCCGTAACGTTAATAGTAATATTTAGTGCACTTTTTCTGTATGTACTATGCACTGTCTTATGCGTTCTCCATGTAGCATCAGATTTAATTCTCCCCACTTCTCTAAGCACAGCTATAAACTGTGGAAATAATGCCTGAGGCTACCAAAGGAGAACTCTGAACAATGGAAAGAGTAGGCTGGACTAGTTAGGGGCCCCAGTAATGGAGGAACAACACAGTGACAGCAAAAGGTGGCTCAGGCCCTGACTCTCAGCCTAGCAACAGGACGTGGTGCAAGCAGGCTTGTTTCTTCCCCAGGACTGAACGAGAGTCCTGCCAACAAGACCAAGTGAGTCTCGTGGCTCTGGCAAGAAGCACTTGATTAGAAACACCACTGACAATGAATGGCCAGGGATACATTCTAAAAAGTACATCAAAGGCTATTTTGTCATTGTGGGAACATCACAGAATATACTTCCACAAACCTGTGTATGGTACAGCCTCCTGTACGCCGGGTATACGGTATGCCATCACTGTATATGTGGTCCGTCGCTGATCAAAACATTGTGATGAGGCATATGACTGTGCTCTCATTTCCTACTGGGCATGAGAGCCCCTTCCCCAGTGAGAGACTTGGGGTGGCCAGGGGGCCGGGCCCAGGGGATACTGCCACAGGTGCCGAGCCCAGAAAGTGTTCTTTGTCCTGGTGGCCTGGAGCCTCCCTTCCTCCACCTGGAGGTACCAGGTAGCCCAACCTGAGGAAGTTCCCTTGCCCCCACTCCCATTTATCCCCCTAACTCCACAAACAGGGGCACTAGCAGGGACCAGTGGGGATCCTAGAGGCACCAGAAAAAAAATAAAAAAATAAAGCAGACTGAAATATCACTGAATGCCCAGAAAATTAAATTGTCATAAGAACCACAGCCTGGAAAAGTAGACCAGGATCTGTGTGTGAAATCTAAACAAGACTACCTCCTAATATGAAGGATTTAAATAGGACCCAGTCTTCTAGCATTATGTGAAGCATTATTAGCCAAAATACTGATAAAATAAAATAATCACCTGTCCTGCCAAGAACCAGAAAAATCACAGCTTGAAATGCTTTATATGTTTAAAAGAAATTTTGACACAAAAGAAATCAATAAATTAATGAAATGTTCAAATTATAGATTTTGAAATCAATATAAATTTAGTTTTAAGCGAGTTATAAAGTAAGTCAGTAATGAACACTAATGAAAAACAGATAACCTAATGAAAAACATACCATTTGTTATATCCAAATTAATGAATATTAATACTTAACAGAATTAAATTACTTAGATATTGTTAGACAGACCTTGATTTCAAATGGAGTAATTTTATCTTAAATGTTGAATTCTCTGTTTAACCAGATATGTAATTTTACTTTTTTTCCTTTTTCAGAATTCTGGAGGTGGAAGTGGAGTGGATCTTTCAGTGCTAAATGAGGCTCGGAATATGGTGTCAGACCTTCTGATTGATCCGACCCTTTCCCCACAAGTCATTTCTTCCCTTCGAAGTATCAGTAGCTTGATGGGTGCTTTCTCAGGTTCCTGTAGGCCAAAGATTAATCCTCTCACACCGTTTCCTGGATTTTACCCCTGCTCTGAAATAGAGGACCCAGTGGAGAGAGGAGATCGAAAAATCCACAAGGTCAACACACAGTAATCAGCCAGCTCTGTTTATCACATTTAATTCTATTTTCAAATTAAAACTGCTCTTTAAAAATCTCAGCTAAACTAGAATTTCCTTTTCAAGGACCAGCTTTTTTTCCAGTATATTGGTCTCCTTGGGGCTTTAGAAAATAGTTATAATCTCAAATAATTTGAAACAAGTATTCAGTTGATATTTTAAATAACACTGCTGTAACTAGCAATTACAATTGCATCAGTAACAATTGTTGTTGTTGTTGTTGTTTTAAAGTAGCAGAGCAACAAGCAAATTTAATTCTAGACTTGTACAACAGACTAGTAGTGAAATCATGTCAGTAATCTGTTTTATTCTGTAGAATCTGGGAATTGTTCTTGTTGAACCAAGAAGAAATGATCAGTATAATGTTCATTTTATGTATTGCGTAGCATTATGCATTTTAAATTGATTTTTACATTTTTAAAACCCTTCTTTTCCCTTCTTCACCCACTAGAGATTGCTATAGTTCAACAGGCACTGATTTTTCTATCATTAGAAATGGGATTAACTGAACTTTCTATGCTTCAAAATAGGATTTCCTTTAGAAAATACGGTTCTAAATAGGCACACATTATGCTTGTCTGGAACGCTTTTGTTTCATTTGACTATCAATATCTTTACCAATTGCTAAAATCATAAAACTAAAAGTGGAAAAAGTTTGGACATTGTCCAATTTTAACCACTTTTTCTACAGGTAAAGAAACTAACCAAGAGAAAATAAAATTCAAATCAGTTTGTTTTGTTTATTTATAACAGTGTATATAGAGCTCAGAAAAGTTAAATATAGTTTTTGGAGGGATTTTGATCATCAGTAAATTTTGTTTTGTTCTCAGAAATAGGGTATAGAAATGCTGAGAAACTAAGCAAGCCCAATTAGGGCAAAAATTTAATAATTATTGAGCACAGATCTGGATCATAGGTAGTTAGGTGATGCTTTTTAAAAAATTTTTATGTTTATTTTTTTTTTTGAGAGAGGGAGAAGAGGAGAGAGAGAGAGGGAGAGGGAGGGAAACATCATGTGAGAGAAATACATTGATCAGTTGCCTCTTGCCCATGTCCCAACCAGGGATCAAACCTGCATGCACCCTAGATACGTGCCTTAACCGGGAACCAAACTTGAGACCTTCTGGTGCACCAGCCAACTGAGCCACACCTACCAGGGCTGTGATGCTTTTATTTTTAAAAAGTATATACAGTATCTCCTGCATTAGTTAAAACCCAATGATTCTTAGAGGTTAGTCATGCGATAGCAACAAATTGATCAATGAAATACTAACATAGTCATGAGTTAGTTTTCACCTGATCTGTTGCTCTTCCCATGTATTTTCCATCAACATTAGATGTTTAGAATAGTAATTTTTTAAAATGCTAATTCTTAAAAAAATCAATCACAAAAATCATTTTGATAGTATAAACAGGATGCCTAAATGCCTCATTTCTTGAACGTTCTAGTTAATCAGGCTTATTTTGTGTACTGGAATCTACTGGTAAAAGTAAGCCATGTAAGATCCAGGATGTGACCCTTATGTCTTAGTGTTCTTTAAACTTATTTGAATTTTACATCTAATTTGTCTCTGCTTTTGGAAGAGAATATAAGAAGCCTAATGTTACTTCAGAAAAGAACGGCCTTTATGAAAAAATAATTAGTAAGGAAAAGGGAGTTGGAATAGATAATTTAATGTAAATGTCGTATATACTATGTTAAACAAGAGAGATTATATGGACCTAAATTTCTAACTACCCACGAACCTTTACGAAATCAACATCCTTGGGAAAACTTAAATATAAGAGATATTTATCTCTCTGAGACAGTTTCAGTATCTGCTGATGGGGGAGATTCGTAAGAAAGAAACTTTTCTGTATATCTCAGTAAGACACCTGTTCACAGTGGTAAAAAAAAAAAAAAAAAGTATTTTCAAAACTTAGGGTAAAACTTTATTAATGCTAAAGGTGTTCTGGATTTAATCATTTGTTCAGAAAGCAGCTCAGAATCCTGCAGTTTTTACAGATCAACCTCTATGGACATTAGCCCTGTACTGAAAGTATAAAAAGTTCAGAACATAGGGCTGACAGTCCCTGAATCTAATCTTTTCCTCAGAAGTTGTTTTTTAGGGTAAATCTTTCATATCTACTTTTTAAATTATCAACTGTTTATTTCTCATGATACTAGGAATAAAGTGTACAAAAGAAAAAAAATCTAGTTAAGTAGGGAGTTCAGAAATCTTTTTTTTTTTTATAGTAGAAGAATATGTAGAACAACAGTATAGAATGTGAAATTTTGAGTAAAATTGACATACCTTCAGAATTAAAACGTTCTGTTTCTCCTGTACATGTTAAAAATATACTTTGTATTGATTTTTATGTACTTTCTTTAATAATACATATACAGCATGTTACAGGGTGACAATTTTAACCACTGATAAATTATTCAACAGGGACTACACAGTAGGAATAGTTTACCAACTCCACAGCTGAGGAGGAGCTCAGGAGCTTCAAGTCTGCCACCTATTGAACCTTCTTCAAGGTGGGAACGCAATAATGGCAAAAGGCCTCACCAAGAATCTGGTGTTTCAAGGTAAACTCTCCAGAGCCTGTTAAGGAAACCTGGATCTGATACATTCACTTTGTTTCTGTGAATCAAGTTTGAAATAGTTCTAAAAGCAGAAAGGAACAGTTGACATACTAATTTAGGTATAGGACAGCATGAGTAGTAATGTGACATAATAGAGAAAATAATTCTTCAAAAGAAGCCAACCTCTCTTACCCCAAAATTTAGGTCAGTTGGATACAAAGCATGTGGGGACCTTAAAGGAAGCTAGGATCAATTTAGAACAGGGTACTGGAAAAGCTTATAAATTGGTAGAGGTGGCCACTACAGGAACAGTCGCCGGGTCCAATGCATAATACCCAAGGTGGGGCAATGGTTACTGACTGGTGAGAGGAGGAGCACATTCTCAGGGTTCACCTCAGATGTTAAATATCTTTCAAAGGCATTCATTACTATGAAGCTGAGAAAAATGCTAGGAGCCGAAATCTGAACATAAATATATATCCATTTATCCTGATAACAAAAGATTCAATGCTTTGTCTTAAAAGCCAGGAAAGCTAGTGATTTCTTGTGTGTTATAAGCTTCTACTTAGTTATCTAACTAAATTAATAAAATTGGTCTCAGTGTAAATTTCCTATTAAACCACTAAGTTATTACTGAGCATGTGTTTTACTTTTAGCTTGAGCTCTGTAGTTACACATTTAAAACACTGGGTGGCAGAATTGGATCACAGCTATTTGATAAATTTATGGTAGTGTTTATATGTGAAATATGATCAGATAATTTTCCAGATTCTTTTGTGATTAATTTGAATCTTCTGTAATATACTCAAATAGATGGGCTCCTTGTTTATTAAAAAAATTGTGTGAAATGGAATGGAATGAGGTATGAAAGAATACTGTACAGGAAAGTAAGCTTTGGTCCAAAGCTTGCTCAGAGCCTAAACATGGTAGTTTGTTTTTTCCCAAATGGAAGCAGGATATGGGGAAGTAAATGATGTTAGAAACTGAAAATATGACAGGTATTTCTTAGCCATGGGAAACATCGTCTTGAGAATATTGGGTTTAAGAAGGATGAAAATGATTCAGTTTTTTAATCTTTCTATCACACTGATGTAACAGCAATACATTTGCAATTAAAGAATGATGATGATTAAAGTAGAAACACAGTCCAAAGAAAACTGTCTTTTGACTCTGGGAAGTGTTCATATAAAGGTGTATGTAGGCATTCCGGGAATCCTCTTAATTGTTCCCCGGTACTGGGAACTTCTATTTGAATTATGGTTTCCTTTCTGTTTCCAGTAAGACCCCCTTTGCCATGTTCAAGCAGGAACCCAAGACACCTTTACTGCTTGTTGGCAAATCTGGGCCTTCTGTGCTGTTACTTTACAGCCACGAGATGCCAGATGGTTGAAAGTAGCTATGGTATTACCTAAATGTTGCTGACATGGTGCCCTGGTAATTATTAAGAGGTCATCTGCATATTGTAACAGAGCTCCTCCTCCAAGTTTTAGGTGTGCCACCTGTACCATTTTCAGACTTTCCTGCTTAGGGGCTCCTTTCTTCAGTTCCTCAAGGATGCACCTCTTATGATGCTCTGAGAGGAAGGCCATTCTCATTAGGGTCCCGATTGGGCTCAGTTAAAGGAATTACCTTAGTAGGTCAGGAGCCCCACCTGGATTTTCTTGGTGCAGTCTCCAAGCCTCTTCATTTGCCTTATCCAGTACCAACCTCACTCATCCTCCATAAGCAAAATATTCAGGAGGCTTGTGTATCTGCCCAGTTGGGGTGGTGGGTGGCAAAAACCCTTGTAATTAAGTCAGTCATTTTAGTAGGATCATCCCTATGAAAAGGACTTTAGTTTCTCCAGTTTAACAGATCCGATGAAGAAAAAAATGAGGAAATCTACCACAGTTTTAAAATTCTTAACCTGTTGTCTTTCCTTTTTAGCCAAGGATGCTATCTAAATGGGCCTTTTAGTTCAAACCCACTGACAGTCCCGAAGCAAAGGTCATCTTCTGTGTCGCTAACTCACCATATAGGTCTAAGAAGAGCTGGTAAGAAATCATTTTTTATTATTTAAATGTGGGAGATCTCAAAGTATATGGTAGCGCCAAGTTTTTTCATTACACATTAATAGCTAACTTTGAAGACTATTTTATGTGTTTTAAGTTAACATGACTAAGCAATTTGAATCGGCTATTCACAATTTGCTCATTAGCAATGACTTTTAAATCTGCTACTATACATGTGTTTAAAGAACTAAAGGAAATCATATCTAAATTATTTAAGAGTGGGACAACAATGTCTCCCCAAAGAGAATATAAAGATCTATAAATTATAAAATAAATTTTAATTATAAAGTAATTGCCACCTCTACTTGATATTGGATTGGAGATTCTAAACAGGGCAGTTAGGTATAAAAGGAAATAAGGAAGAAGTAAACCTATATTTACAGATGACATAATAACATATTTATAAAATCCTAAGAAAGTCATTAACACCTATTACAACCAGTAGACAAGTTCATCACTGTGGCAGGATACAAGATTTGTATGTAAAAATCAATTGTATTTCTATATACTTGCAACAAACAATGCAAAACAGAAATTAAGAAAATAATTCCATTTACAGTTAGCATCAAAAAGAGGAAAAATCTTTGGAATAAATTTAATAAAATAGTGCAAGACTTGTTCACTGAAAACTATAGAACATTGTTAAAAGAAGTTAAAAATCTAAATAAATGAAAAAAATATCCCATGTTCATTGATCAAAAAACTTAGTATTGTCAAGATGGCAGTATTTCCCAGTTGTTCTAGGATTAGCACAATCCTTATCAAAATCTGAGCTGGCTTCTTTGCAGATATTGACAAGTTTATCCCAAAATTTATATGGAAATTCAGGTGACCCAAAACTGCAAAAATAATCCTTAATTTAAAAAAATTTTTGGAGGACTCACACTTTCAGATTTTAAAACTTACTATCAGGCTATGGTAATCAAGACATTGTGGCACTAGCATAAGGATATTCCAAGTCTGGAATAGAACTGGGAGTCCATAAATAAACCCTTACATGGTCAACTGATATTCAACAAGGGTACCAAGATAATGGGGAAGGAATAGTGTTTTTAACAAATGGTGTTGGAACAACTGGATATACACATGAAAAAGAATGAATTTAAAACACCAGTTACCATACTTAAAAATTAACTTAAGATATATCATAGACTCAAATGTAAGAGTTAAACCATAAAACTGGTAGAAAACATAGAAAATCTTTGTGACTTTAGGTATCGAGTAAAGCTTTCTTAGATGGCACCAAAGGCACAGTCCATGAACGAAAATAATTGATAATTGGAATTCATTGAAATTAAAAGCACCTGTATGTACTTCAGCAGACGCCTAAAGAAAATGAAAAGACAATTCATAGGAGAAAATATTTGCAAATCATATTATTTGACAATGGACTTGTATCCAGAATACAAAAAGATGTTTTACAACTCAGTAATAAAAAGACAAAAGACCCCATTAAAAAATGGGCAAAAGATCTGAATAGATGTTTCTCCAAAGAAGATATAAAAATGGCCCATAACCACATGAAAAGATGCTCAGCATCATTAATCATTAGGGAAATGTAATCAACACTACAGTGAACTATGACTTCACACCCACTATGATGTTTTTAATTATAAAGCCAGATAAGTGTTGATAAAAATGTTCAGAAGTGGGAACACTCACACATTGTTGATGGGAAAGTAAAATGCGACAGCCACTTTGGAAGACAGTTTGGCAGTTCAGTACTTGAATAGAGAAATAAAATTGTGCTGTATTCATGCATACACTTTTACACAGCACTGAAAACGAATGAACTGCAGTCACATGCTACTACATGGAAATATCTCTTTTTTTAAATGTTGAGTAAAGTAAGCAAGGCATAGAAGCATTTATATATACTGATTGAATTTACAAAGATCAAAAAAAGGGCAAAACTAATGTAAATTAAGAGATACATACATATGTGGCATAAATATAAAGAAAGGCAAGAAAAACAGTACTATAAAAGTCAAAATAATGATTTCCTTTAACAAGAGGAAGGGCAGTTAAGATGGGTTTCTGATCTCTAGCCATGTTTTATGTATTAACTTGAGTGATAAGCACTCCTGTTATAGTTTTTCTGTATGCATATTGTATTTCACAATAAATAAAGTTTACAATTAAAATATGGCTCTATATTATAGAATATCTTTCTTAAGGGTTGCTAGGTTTTTCTCTACCACTTTTTCCTCTCTTTGAAGCTTTTCTATGTTGTATCAAATTTATAACCCTAAGATTATTTAAAATACCCTTTAGTCTTCTCAGCCTATTTGTCTGGGTTTTTGGACACTCACTGGTATAATTAGAGAAAAGAATGCTGGAAATTGGAATGTTGTATCCAGTTATTAACAACCAGCGTGACTTTGACAAGCAAGGCACTTTCCCTCTCTAGTCTTCAGTTTCTTCTGAAACATTAAGCTGTCAGATTATTTATCAGATCCTGTTGAGCCCTAACATTACATATGATTTATAGGAGCCTCTAAATAAATTAATCTGATAGAACAGCAGTGGCAGCCCTTTCCAGAGTGTGGTCTCACAGTGTTAACTGTTAAGCAAATCATGTTTCTTAGTGGGGGAGGATTTCGTAGTATTTTCCCCCCCTCACATGTAAAATGAAAATGCTACCTAACTCACGTTGTTATTGTGAAGATTAAATAAAATAGCCTATTGTATCAGTCAGGGTTTTCTAGCGAAACAGAATAGGATGTTTGTGTGTGTGTGTACATACATACATAACATACATATGTACATGCATGCATGCATGTAGGCAGAAAGGGGGGTGGGCGATGGATTTTAAGGCATTGTCTCCTGGGGCTGGAAGGGCTGAAATTTTTAGGGCAGCCTGCCAGCATGGAATTGATGCTGCAGTCTTAAGTCCAAAGGCACTCTGGAGGCAAAGTTTCTTCCTCTTGGAAGGACTCAGTCTTTTCTCTTAAGGCCTTCAACTAATGGGATGAGGCCAACTCACATGAAGAGTAATCTGCTCTACTCAGCCTACTGATTTAAGTATTAACCTCATCTGAAAATTTCCCTCACAGTAACACCTAGGCTGCTGTTTGACCAAAACAGCTGGGCACCGTAGCTTAGCCAGTTGACACAAAATTAACTGTCACACACAGTCTCTTAAGTGTTCACCTCTGTGCCTGAAAATTTCACAGATCCTTAATAACTGCTATTTGCTTTCCTCTCTAATTCATACTTTACTTGGCTCTTTACTTCCTAATAAAAGTTTTAAGTCTGCCTTCTTCTTTCCAGAGATACCCATACTGCCTTAATTCAAGACACTCAGCAAATCTCTGAAGTGCTGTGTTTTCCTCATTGAGCACATAGCACTTATTTATATTGTCCCCCAGACTCTAGGTTTGTTGAATTACAGAAATAGTATCTTCTTCCCCATTGTGAAACCCAGCACATTTTCCAGCATATAATAGGGTCGCAAATATTTGTTGAATAAATAAATCGGCTGGACAGATTTGCATATTTTTAAAGGCTATGCTGTGATGGTAACATATAAATTTATTATATGCTCAACTTGCTTAATGCTATTAATAAAATGAATTTTACTGTATTGAAAAATAGTCGCTAAAATTTGGTAAAGGCACTCTGTTCATAAAAAGAATCAAGCTGGCAAGGACACAAAATGTGAATGGTAAAGAATTAGGAAAATTTGTGCCACACAGTATGTACATTTTAGTTCTACTCTTAGTATCCACCTGAAATGTGCTCTCCTGCTGCAGGGTGTTTATTCCATAGTCACTGATGATTACCAACATGGCTCTGTATTCTGCTTAAATTCCTAGAGTGTCTTAAAGATAGCTCCATCTAGAAATCTTATTTTATCATTTAATTGTAAATATTTTGCTTTCTTTAAAGAAGGAAAATGCTCTTTATATAAGTACACAAACATAAATAATAAACACCATACACGTGCAGAATTTATTTATCTATCTCTTTCCTCTCTTTTAACTTTCCAAGGTGTTTTACCGAGCCTGAGTCCCGTGAATTCTCCTGGCCATGGACCAGTGTCTCCTGGCTCTCTAACTAGTCGATCGCCTATAGAATTTCCTGATACTGCTGATTTTCTTACTAAGCCAAGTGTTATTTTACACAGATCTCTGGGCAATGCACCCACTTCACCAGATTTTTATCCGCCACTTAGAAATTCTGATAGCAATTTATGTAACAGGTAAGTTTCCCAAATGTTTATTTCTGTTTTACAATATAGGTTACTTAAAGTATTACTCATATTCTAGTTCTGTCTAATAACTAGATGATGAATTAAGACTATGCCCTCCTCCATATTTATCTAGTAGTATTTATTCTCAACAGAATTTCTCTCATTTCAGTACTGTCATTCATTTTCCAATTAAGTGGTCTCCATCTGAAGTGCAATATAGTGGCATTGTACTTATTATATCAGTAAATGTGTGGGAATTATTTTAGTATACACTATTTCCGTGCGTAATCATAATACCCAGCTCGTGTGGTGTTCCTTCTCATTTCTGCTTAGATGCGAAGTGTTTACCTCAGACATCATTGTTGGCTTTCAAAATGTGTTATTGTCTTCAGGGTCACTCACACATATGCTCCCCAGGATAAATCCTATTAAATTTATAGAGATTGGAATATTAGGATGTGTTGCATTTGGGACCTTGGTTAAAAATTGAGCAGATTTTCTAATTGTATATAGATTTTAAATTTTTGCCTAATTTATTGTATATACATGTTTACATATGTGTATGTATATTTATGTTTCGTTCTATAAGCTGTGGACATCAAATACTGAAATATGTTTCAACACCTGAATCAGAGTCTGGTACAGATTGCTGTGGCGGGAAATCAGGTGAGGGTCCAGAGTCGTGTGTATTTAACTTTATGAGCAATTTTTTACATTACTTTTAGGATGAATAAATGAATGAGTTCAACTTTGGTTTATCCACCTTTAAAATGAAGATTACAGCGTTTTTTATCTACTTTAGAGAGGTGTTACTAGGAACAGAGTATTAGATGGTGAAAGTATTTTAAAGAGTAAAAATGTGCTGTACAAATGAATATAGTCTTTGGTTATGGCTTCGGCTCATAAATAGTGAAATAAAGTATAATAATGTTGAAATTTATACTGCACAATCTAAGGCCAAAAGGTTTGCATAAATTTTTTATGGCAAAGAGAGGAGTTATTTTAAAATTTAATTATATCATTCTGAAGCATTTCATATGCTCAAACAAAAAATATCGATGGTGATAAAATTATAGTTTTATAACTTTAAACAATTGATGACCAAGCTTCCAGTAATAGACCGTTAACCCACACCAACATTCCCCCTGAAGGTAGGTAGAAAAGCAAAAAAATCTGCTTGAAGCTCCTCAGAAATACCACTAGATCTGGAGGGGAGGACACATGTCCAAAAAAGTGAGTCTGGAGTTTGGGGCCACCAAGAGGGTGTTTGCCAGAGGGGCCAGTGACTGATAAAATGAACAGTCCTTTTGGTAGCTTCATGGGACTAGGGAGGCGGAGGTTGGAGTTGGAGGCCTGCCGTGTAGGGATAACTCGGTACATCCTGCAGCACTGCCCCCCAGGGATATGAAGGTAAACCAGAGATAGATAGGTCCTTTCAGGGATTATAGGCCTCTAGGAATCCCTTTACATACCACAGAATTCATCCTCTTAAAGTGTGCATTTTAATAGTTTTTGGTTTTTAAAGTGTTGTTAAAAAAAACAAAGACCAATTCTTTTTAAAAGAAACTTTTCCAAAAAATAGAAGTGGATAAACTTTCCAACTCATTCTGTTGGGACGGTTTTACCCTGATACCATAACCAAAGATGTCCCAAGAAAACTACAGACCAGTACCCCTTATATGTACAGACACAAAAATCCTTAAAAGATACTAGCAAACTGAGTCCAGCAATTTATAAAACAGTCACACCATGACGAAGATATATTTATCCCAGAAATGCAAGGGTAGTTTAACATTTGAAAATCAGTGTAATACACTACATTAATAGAATAAAGGGGAAAAACACGTGATAATCCCAATAGATGCATAGAAAGCGTGACAAAAATCAAACCACTATTTCATGATAAAAACACTCAAACTAGTAATAACAAAGAAGTTCTTCAACTTGATCAAGAAAAGCACACAGCTTCATATCATCCTTAATGGAGAAAGACCGTCCCTATTCACAGACCATATGATCCTCTATGTAGAAAATCCCAAATACACACACACACACACACACACACACACACACGCACACACTACTAGAACCAATAAACAAGTTTAACAAAGTCACAAGATAAGTGTACAGAAAATCAGTTGTAGTTCTGTATACTAACAATAAACCATCATAAATTGAAATTAAGAAAACATTTTTATTCATAGTAGTGTCAAAAGATTAAAGTAGTTGGAATAAACTTATTATAAAGCCACTGTAATTAAGACAGTGTGGTATTGGCAGAAAGAGATGAGCCTGTAGATCAGTGGAATAGAGAAGTATGAGTCCAAAAATAAATTCTTGCATTTATGGTAATTGATCTTCCACATAGAAGCCAATACAATTCAAAAGAAAAAGGGTCTTTTTTTCAACAAATGAGGCCAAGACAATTGTATAACCAATTGCCCAAAAGAGAATTTGAACTCTGACCTCACCAGGTACACAAAAAGTAACTCGAAATATGTCAGAGACTTAAATGTAGGAGTTAAGACCATGTAACTTGGAGAAGAAAACATAGGACAGAGCCCTTGTGACCTTGGATCAAGTAAAGCATTCCTAGGTACAGCACCGAAAAGGCACAATCCATGAAAGAAAGGAAAAAGTGACAGATTGGGTTTCAGCAAAATTAAAATCTTTTGCACTTAAAAAGGACATCAATAAGAAAATGAGATGACACACCATAGGCTGGGGAAAAATATTTGCAAATTATACATCCAAAATAAGCATCTTATATCCATGATACGTAAAGAACTCTTACAACTCAATAGTTAAGAAGCCATACAACTCAATTAAAATTTGGGCAAAAAAGTGGGGATAAATGCTGATGGAAGGAGACTTGACTTGGGTGGTGAACACACAATATAATATATAGAAGATGTGTTAAAGAACTGTACACCTGAATCCTATAATTTTATTAACCAATGTGACCCCAATAAATTCAATTAAAAATGGGGGGAAACGGGCAAAAAGTTTTAGATCATTTGTTGAAAGTCATTCAGTGAAGGATAACACATGAAAAGATGATCATTAGTCATTAGGTAAATGCAAATTAATACAACCATGAGATACCACTGCTCTCAAACCAGAATAGCTATAATCAGAAAGACAGACAATACCAAGTATTGGCAAGGATGCAGAGAAATCGGAACCCCTATGTATTGCTGATGGGAATGTAAAATGGTATATCCACTTTGGAAAACATTTTCAGTTTTTTAAAATGTTACACATAAATTTACCGTATCACCCAGCAATACCAGGGCTAAGAATTTAGCCGAGAAAGCCTGAGCCCTCAACACAGGACTGTGAATGCTCACGACATCATTATTCATAATAGCACAGAACTGCCTATTGCCCAAATGTCCATCAACCTGTGAATGAATGAATATCACGAGGTCTGTATCCATACAATGGAATTTTATTTAGCAGTTAAAGGAACAAACTTCTGATGCATGCTAATACATGAATAAACTAGAAAACATTATTCTAAGTGAGAGAAGCCAGGATCAAAAAAGTTGTGTATTGTGTGATCCCACTTATATGAAATTCTAGAAAAGGCGTATTTATAGACAATAATCATAACAGTGATTGCCTAGGATGAAAAAGCAACTAACTGTAAACAGGCATGAAGATACTTTTTGGGGGTGATAAGAATATTCTAAAACTGGATTGTCATAATGGTCGCACAACTCTAAGTTTACTAAAATTGTTCAATTATGCACTTACAATGGGTGGATTTCATGGTATGTAATTATACTCAATAAAGCTTTTAAAAATAATTCATTAATGTTCAAAGTTCTTTGGACCGACTGTTCTCAGTTGGGAGATCCTTATTTGAGGGCTGTCATGTGTTTGCGGTCAGATATTGGCAAGAGTGATGGTTATCTGAAGGACCGATTGGGTTGAATTTCCAAGATAGATTACTCACCTGTCTGTTGGCTATTGACCAGTCCACCTAACTTTGACCACTAAGAATATCCACTCATCCTTTTAATCCCGGAGTAGATATACCAGGTGAAATGTTTATGTTGCCTGGGCACAAGATACGTGGGCCAGATAATCCAGCAAGACAGAGTCAATGGTAATTAATTTTTGGTGTTGTTCATTTAGATTGAACACCATAGTAGTTCACTTTATCTGAATATTTTTACAAATAATTTTTCTTATAAAACTACCCATGTAGGGCAAGTTTTGTTCTTATTTATTGCTGTTTTTTGAAAGGGGACGAAGACAACACCATTTCCTCAAAAGAATCACTCAACCTTACAGAAGCTCAACAAGAAGTGGAAACAGAGAACAGAGACTGCAGAAAATTAGCTCTGGAAGATGATAATCACCTAACAGAAGAGGCACAGAATGCACAGCAACCAAATGTAAAACTTATGATTATATTAAAGTGAAGTAGAATATTAGTTAGTGCTTAGTTTTTTGCCCAGAACAGGGTTTTTAATATAATATTTTTAAATTTTTTACTGAGAGTCACTATACCACATTAAAGAAAACCTTGGATAAAAAAAATATAATTACCTCTAAGCTCATTATCCTAGAACAAAGCGCATTCATCTTACAGTGAACACATTTCGTTTTATAGCGGATATATTCCTTTCCATGCTGGTATTTTTTTCATTAGAAATGTTAAGGTCTGAGGAACATGTGCATAGTCATTAAAAATAATGTAGTAATCTACTTAAAATAACAATTTTTTTGTTATTAAAGTTCAAAATGTAAGCATTTTAGGGAAAAACTCATCCATTTCTCTTGGGAAGTTAAGATAATTATAAGTGCTAATATAAGGATATAAATTTCTATACTTTTTAAAAAAAATTTTTTAAATATCTTTTTATTGATTTCAGAGAGAGAGAGAGGGAGACAGAGAGATAGAAGTCTCAATGATGCGTCACTGATTGGCTGCCTCCTGCACGCCACCTAAGGGGATGGAGCCCGCAGCCGGAGCCTGTGCCCTGACCGGAATCTAACTGGTTCATGGGTGGACACTGAACCCCTGAGCCACGCCTACCAGGCTCTATTATTCTTGATATGTGTACCCTCTAAAATGAAAATGGAATTTAGATTGGTATAGTGTTTTGAAAATATTTTTATTTATAAAAGCAATGTCAAGATTAAGAAATCTTCTGATGCCTAGAGGACAGGTTTATATTTATATGAAGACAGCATTCTACAAAGTGAGAAAATAGGAAATACAGATTCTATCGGAGAAAAAACGTTGTAGAAAATAGTACTGACCATTTTTAATGTTCAATTTTAAGTGTTCTCATTTAGATACGGATTTAACAGTATTAACAAAAGGTTATGTTGGTTTGGGTTTCCCCCCCTGTATGTGCAGATTGAACAGGAAGCATCACTGGACCGGGTTTTAATAGAAGATTATGATTCATTAATAGAAAAGATGAGCAACTGGAACTTTCAAATTTTTGAACTTGTAGAAAAAATGGGAGAGAATTCAGGAAGGATCCTTAGTCAGGTTTGTTTCAAATCTCTACCACATTTTTATTACAAATGAATTTTTTTGAATCTCTATAAAAAGCAAAATCTAAAAATGTATAATGCTGGTTCAGGCAGAGACTCAACATTTCTTTATTGAATTATTGTTTTCACAAATTAAATTTTCAGTAGAATATTTGAAAATATATATATAAATGAAAAGTGGTTTCTTTGTCCATAATAATAGGATTTAATTTTGCTAAAGTAATAAAGTTTTACTTTATATTGGATCTTGAGGTTGAAAAGGAAAAAAGGTAATCAAGTGCTAACCACTGAAATTTATGCTTCATTTTTTCTTTCACCTGCCTTCCCTTATCCTTTCTCAAGACCAAGTAGTTCATTTCTTGCTACAACCATGGAAAAAAACTTCCATTTTAATCCCCAGACTCAAGGTTGTCCCTGATGTGTTCACACAACAGCATCAGATTAAACTTCCCAAAATATCACCTTCATAAACTCCAAAGTATCTTATTCATGAAATGTAAGAGCATACGGGTAAATTATGTGGAAGGTATATAACTTCATCTCATTGAAGTCTTTAATTAAAGGGACAAAAACATGTTAAAGATATCATTCTGACTTCTTTTAACACGCTGGACTAGAATAGAATTCACATGCCCTTCAATAAATTATGAATAAAAAGCTAAAGGGAAGAATGGAAAAAATCTTAAAACTAGTATACGATATGACAGTCTTTCATTGGTTTTCAAGGGCTTTAGGGTGATGGGCTTCCTTTTTCATGTTTTGAAAAGAATTCATTGTAGGAAAGGTTTTAATAAATTATCAACTTAAAGACATATACATGGTTAATATTCCTAAATGCAAATCAGAAAAACATATTACACTCAACTACAAATAAAAATTCTGAACTTTATTTTAATTTACATTCAGGTTATGTATACTTTATTTCAAGACACTGGTTTATTGGAAATATTTAGAATTCCCACTCTACAATTCATGAACTACTTTCATGCATTAGAAAATGGCTATCGAGACATTCCTTGTAAGTATTAACATCTTATTATTTAAGTTCAAATAATACTGGTTTATGATTATTTAATTTTATGGGAACAATATCATTTGAATTTCTTATTAGGAAAAGATAGTTTTCTTTATGTGTCAATACATTCTACAGTTTCCCTTCAGGATTTTGGGGAAATCAACTATATAGAGAACAAATTATTAAATTGGGATAACTCAATAATGGTGATAGTAATTTAATGTGTTTTATGTAATATAATTTCCACTTATAAAGTATGCATTTTAAAAAGTGACTAAATTTTAAAAATGGAATTAAAGCGCTACTTTAAGATGGACTTCAAGGGAAGGGGAATGGGAAGAAAGGGGTGGTAAGGAGTATTCACCATCAGCTCCAATTAAGAAAAGTCTCTGGGCCTAACTTTTCTAAACTTCAGTTTCCAAGTTTGTAAATGGGAATTAACAATAGTGCTAACCCCATAGTTAGTGATAGGATCATCTGTGTAAAGCACTTATCAGAGTTCATGGGACATAGTAAATGGTCAGTAAAAGGTGATAACATGTATGATAACTAAGCTCCTCCCGGATGGAATCGTGTTCTGTAGCCTTAACAATTGGTCTTGTATCACCTGCCAGTTCTCCATGGTAGGGACTCATTAAATATTGGTTGAAGTGTTGAATTTTTATTGAATGTCAGCTATGACTATAATCATTAGATTAGCAAAGGTTATCCCATTTAATCTTTCCGGGAAAGGTGGTATTACCTACCATTCATGGGTGAGAAGTAAACACTCAGAGGAATCTTTCCCAAGATCATAAAATTATAAATAGCAAAGCTGGGTTTTACATGTCGGTCTTGCCAGTGTGCTATGTGTGAGGCACATGTTCTGAATGTGTTCATATACCATTTAACATTTAATCCTTATAGTAGATCTAAGAAATAAGTATTTATCATCTTTTTTATGGGGGGGAGGATATTCAAGTATCCAGAATTTTAACTTTTCTATGTGCCCATGTGCAAAAAATCTTGTGTGTGCAAACATTGGTCTCCATAATCCAGACAGTACTTACAAATTATTTTTAAAAGCTACAACCTTAAATATATATTTCAGTGCCTTTCAATTAGCCCTGGTTACCCTGCTTTTTCTTTTACCTCTTTACTATGTTTTCGTAGTATAAGTTTTTAAAAGAACTTTTTAACACATCAAAAGGCTTTAAAAAGTAAGACGAAACAAAAATATAATTGTGGGAAATTATTCTAAGCCATACATTTTATATATGAGGATGATTAAAAATCACTGGACTTTTTAAAATGTCTTATGGTAAATGTAACAGAATGATCATTTTTATAAAACGTTTTGGTGACTTTAGATCACAATCGTATACACGCCACAGACGTCCTACATGCCGTTTGGTATCTGACAACACGGCCAATTCCTGGCTTACAGCAGATCCACAGTGATCCTGGAACAGGAAACGAAACAGGTACTTCCTGCTACAAATCTTCCTTTTAATTAATAGGATTAATAAATCAAGCTACCTCTCAAAATTTTCATTAAGTAACTTTTGATACATACAAAGGACTCTGTAAATTTTTATGTATAATAATAACATGGAAATCAGGAAACCTACTACCCATCTTAAGGGCTAGGTAAAGATGCAGTACTGCTGGATCTACAAAGTCTCTTTCCTGTATCCCATTTTACTGATACCCCCCCCACATTGAGGTAACCACTATCCTGAATGTTATGATAATCATTTCTTTGCTATCTTCTTTTAATTCTTGGTGTATTTTTTTAGGTGTATCATGTAAATGTAAAATATATAATATTCCCATTGTTTGAAAGCGTCACATATGCATTTAAATGATAAATTAAAAAACTTTTTCAAACTTTGCTTCCAAAGAAGTTAGTTCTGTTCCTCATCATAGGTATAAGTATTTATGCAAATATAATGAATTATAACATTCATGGTTCTTTTATTGTAGCCCATAAAAGAGGGGAGAAATACTTCAATAATGTAGAGAGAGACACACACAGACAGAATTTGCTCAGTTTCAAATGCCTGAGAAATATTACCTTACTAATCAGTGCAAGTGTCATAGACTCAGCCACTGCTTTACATTCTTTGGTACTTGAGTCTGAAGTACTGCCATATTTGTTTGATGGAAGTGCCTATGTTCGTTTTTGTCTGCCATTTATATTTTATTCTTTTTTTAAAAAATATATCTTTATTGATTTCAGAGAGAGGAGATGGAGAGAGAGAAAAACATCAGTAATGAGAGAGTCATTGATCGGCTGCCTCCTGCACGTCCCCCATGGGGGATCAAGCCCGCCACTCGGGCATGTGCCCTGACTGGGAATTGAACCCCAATTGCCTGGATCCTAGGTCGATGCTCAACCATTGAGCCACGCCCAGCCAGGCTATATTTTCCTCTTTTCTAACGCTCTTTATTCTTTCCAGTAGTTGTGTGCTTTCATCAGAGATCATTTTCTTTAGCTTTTTTTGTTTGAAGGTGTATTTATTTTGTCTTAGAAGAATATTTTTGTATTTCGTATGCACTTGAATATACCATTCCATCATGTTCTGAGTTTTGTAGTTTCTGTTGACAAATTGGCCAGGTCTTATTTCTCCTTAAAACTGCCCTAGGCCGTTTAGATCAATGGTTAGAGTGTCAGCCTTTGGATTGAAGAGTCCCGGGTTTGATTCCGGTCAAGGGCACACACCTCTGTTACAGACTTGATCCCTCCCCTCAGTTGGGGTGGGGGCAACCAACTGATGTGTCTCTCTCACATCGATGTTTCTTTCTCCCTTCCCCTCTCTCTGAAAAGGAATGGGAAAAATATCCTCAAGTGAGGATTTAAAAAAAAACATTCAAAACTACTACGTTCCTCTTCCTCTTTGCTGTTGGTGTCTATCATTTTCACTCTGATGTACTCAGGTGATTTTCTTTGTATTCATCCCGCTTGTCATTCAGTGAACTTACTGAATATGTTGATTATTTCTTATTGGTGTTTATCATGCTCTTTAAAATTCCAACCTCTACCCATTACTCAATTCCAGTTTGGGGGAATTGTTATAGTAATACCCCACTTGCAGTACCAAAGTCTGTTAGTTTCTTGTTGCTGCTGTAACAAATTACTACAGACTTACTTAGTGGCTTAAAACAATACACATTTATTATCTTATAGGTCTGGAAGTCAGAAGTCCAAAATAAGTCCAACTGAGTTAAAAATCAAGGTGTCAGCAGGATTATTTTCTCCTAGAGTCTCTGATGTAGAATTCTTTTCCTTGCCTCCTCCATTTTCTAGAAGCCATCTGCATCCCATTGTTCACAGACCCTTCTTCAAAGACAGCAGCTTAGCATCTTCAGGACCCTCTATCCCTACCTTTTCATCCTTCCAAAGGATTAGCAAAAAGTATGCCAGCTGCTGCCTTGGCTTCCTGAGAGTCCAGAGTACACCTCCGTGATAGTTAATCTCCTACTGTTAGTGTCTTTTGTGATCTGGACAGGCTATTTCTCAAATTATCAAGTCCTGGTTCTTTATGGCTAAACAGTTCTTCGATCTCTCTCTCCTGTCACATTTTACTACAAACAGTAAAACTAGGCAGTATTTTCAGCACTTTTTTGTAAATCCTCAGCTAAATATCTAAATTCATCATTTACAGGTTTCATGTTCCATATTAAATGCAGCACACAATTTGGATAAGCTTTCTGGTACATATAACAATGATCTCCTTTCCCCTAGTTTCCAATATGTTCCTCTCATTTCTTTCTGAGACCTCATGGCAGTGGCCCTAACAGCAGTTTTCTACCACCAGCCTGTTCACAATGATTTAAGTATCTCCTAATGCAATATATGTTTTCTCTTCCATGCTCCTCACTTCCTTCAGAGTTCTACTGGCAGTGTTATAAGTTCTTATACACAGTGTTATGGAGTCAACTATTTGTGGAAGACAAGGCTTTGGGAAACCAAGTAGCTGTTGAAATGGAAAAGTATGGCGAAGACAAATACTTAAGACTAGGGGATGTGCTGCCTCATTCTGGTTGCACTGGAGAACTAATAGAAATGATTATGACACCGAAAGCACAAGCAACAGAAACAAAAATCAATTAAGTGGGACCACATCAAGCTGAAAAGCTTCTGCACATCAAAGGAAACAAAAATAAAGACAACATACAGAATGGGAGAAATTATTTTCAGACTATGTATTTGGATAAAGGGTTAATATCCAAAGTACATAAAGAACTCACACAATTCAATAACAAACAAAAAATCTGATTAAAAAATGGGCAGAGGAACTAAATAGACATTTTTCTAAAGAAGACATCTAAATGGGCATCAGGTACATGAAAAGATACTGGACATCACCAGTCATCAGGGAAATGCAAATCAGAACTGCTATGAGATCACCTAACACTTGTTAGGATGGTTAATATATATTGTTTTAAGTCCATGTTTATAAATAGAATGTATTTCTTAGTAAGTAAACAAGTTACGTTACCTATGGGGACTCCCCTCCTTGACCTCATTGTGAGGAGGCTTTGTGTGTAATGCTGATTTTGCTTGTTCCTCAGAGTCTGATGGTAGAATTAACCCTGGGCGAATTGCTTACATTTCTTCGAGGAGCTGCTCAATCCCAGATGAGAGCTATGGCTGCCTGTCTTCAAACATCCCTGCGTTGGAATTGATGGCTTTGTACGTGGCAGCTGCCATGCACGATTATGACCACCCAGGGCGGACAAATGCATTTCTAGTGGCTACAAATGCCCCTCAGGTAGGAAATACTTTTTCAGAAAGTTTAAAGAGTGATTCTGAAATTTTACAACCATTTTGTATATCCTTTTGTAAATCATTCTTCAGTTGACTCAACACTGAATTAGATGTTAACACAAGGCATTGGCACGCTGTGTGCTAAAGAATTTGGAGGGGAAAAAAACCTTCAACTGGAAAGCAGAATGTTTATGAAAGAGTGACTCACTGTTTTATGAAATTCTGGAGTTCTTGCTTTCAATATGTTTGCCTTTGATCAAATCGATAAGATTCTGACTAGATGTAAGACTTACTCTTCCTTCTCGAAAGTTCCTTTGTGCGGCTAAAAGCTGCAGTGATGAACAACCATTAGTTTTGTTGTGCCCTTTTCCTCTAAGGCGCGCCCTGATACCCAGGCTCTAAGTCTCTTGACTCTGACTCTATTAGTATGTGTAAAAGTTCTTCTGGTACCACCTTATTTTTGTATCCAGTACAGCTGGTAAAGGTGCAAGATGCCTTTACGGCCACAATTTGCATAAGAGGTAGGAATTACGGTAAACGGTTACTGTGATTCTAATAGTTTTACGCGTTAGGACTCGGAACCGGGTACTTGATTTTAAGTAGAATTTAAGGTGGGTGGGTGTTTGGGCTGGCGATTCCTTTATATTCTTTGTATTTCTAAGCGTGAGCCTTACAGGGAGTGCGCACTCGGTGACTGCTGAGTTCATGTTTTTCACTTTGTCATTCTGTATTTAAACCTCAGTTCTGGTTATTTCACCTTCTGTAGCCATTCTCTGTGTTCCTTTTCTCACTTTTATTCCTTTTACACATTCTCACTTTAAAAATAGAGGGGATAGATTCTTTAGCCAGAACAAGAGTAGGATTCGGGGGTGGGGGTGGGGGTGGAGAGAATGTTAAAAGTGCTGTGTGATTCGTTCTCTCCAATAAGACTTTATCTATTAAAAGCTCATGATTTCCACAGGTAACTAATTAAAAATAAATTTCAACCTAGATATTAATATTCTCTTTTGAAGAAATTGCCCACAAAGGAGCACATATTGGCTCATTTGCAGTACCATTCTGCAAGAATCAGTGCCCATTCGCTCCAGCCTAATATTTCATAATCTTTGCAAATCCCCTCGTGAGTCACAGACCTGGACAGTAATGGCGCGGTGGGAAAAGCGTGCTAGGATCCGCTGGCCTGCATTTGATTTCCTGTTACCCACTTATTAGCTCTGTGACCTTAGACAAATCTCAACCTCTGAACCTCAAACTATGTACCTGATACGATACGGTTACGGGTAAAAGGAGATAACGTATGGAAAGTTTTCCACCGTGTTATGTATTTGAGAACCTCCTGAACTAGATAATCACGTAGACAGAAACTACTCACTGTTCTTTTCCACTCTCTGCTTTTGTTCTGCCTTTTATTAGGTTAGCGTGTAGGTGAGTCAGACTTGTTTATTACTTTTTCTTCAAGGATATTAAAAGTGAGTGAATTCTAGTGTTACCTCTCTCACTTGCAGAGAATTTAAAAACACTGATACATGAATATAGTTTATAAAGTTATATGCTCAAAACTTGCTTTAATCAAAATACAACATGAAATCTGGACATAATATCAATAATCATATGTTATTTCTAACCTCATTTTTACGAATTGCCAATAAATGAAGCAGTGGGAAGCTTTGGAATGGAAAGGAAGTTGATTTGAGTTCAGCTACTGAAAAATTATAGCCTTTACCCTTGTCCCCCTGCTTACTTCCCACTCCCCACCCCCAGTCTGTTCACACACAGCAGCCAGAGTGTTGCTGTTTAAATCCCAGTTACATCGCTTTCTGTTCCAAACCCTTGAGTGGCATTCACCACGCTCCTAGCACATCAGCAGGACAGCTCAGAAGGCCCCTACACGATTCAAACCCCCACGAATTCTCCTTTCTCTTACTCGCTCAGGCTGAGCCTCCCTGGCCCCTATCCTAGGCACATGCCCTGCGAGCCCTTTCACCTCCTGTCCTCCCTGCCCAGAGTGCTCTTTCCCCAGATGTCAATGGAGCTCACTTTGTCTCATCCTTCCATCTAAAATTTCAGAAGCCCTTCCTGGCAGGCACTCGTTATATTCCTTCCCTGCTTTATTTTTTCCATAGCAATGATTCATTTAGTATACTCTGCTCTTTGAGTATTATACATCTCTTCTCAGTGGCATGTAAGTTTCCACCAGGGCAGGGGTTTTTGTCTGTTTTATTTATTCCGTAATACCTAGACTAGTAGTACCTCACACACTAAAGGCATTAGGTAAGTGTTGAATGTTGGAGCACTGCTGGTTTGTCTGAAATGGATGCAGTTTTTCCCGAAGTAGTGAAATTCTTAACACCCTCTTCAGCTAGGCCAGTGAATGAGGACTCTTGTGAAATACTGAGGCTCAGTGTGACTATTAGGTGATAACGGAGATTCTCTCATCTTGGGAAGCTCAGTGGCTCCGATCAAGCCGTAATTAGTAAGATAGTATAGCTCCAGTGTATCATAAAGTGACAGTAGTGTATAATACCACCAACTGGATCAAGTATTCTCCTCATTCTCATGGTAGAGAAAGTATGCTGGGAAGACACAGGATTATTTTGAATCCTTACCATGAAAGAAGGTAAAATATTTAGTCAAGCTTAAACTGGAGGGATGTCAGTATTAAAATCCTGAGATTTCTGAGCTATTTCCAAGTGGAAAGTTGGCTGAAAGGTAGAGATTAGTGGTTGAGGTATTAGTTAATAGAATATTTTGATGAGATTTAGGGTAAAAGGAAATAAAATTTCAAATTGGGATTTGTAAACCTGAGACCATCATAAATATATTTTGTCCCTCAAAATATGGATCAAGGTGGTGACTAACCACATGCATGCCCCCCCTTCCTCCTGATTAAAATGACAGTAAGGGATGAAGCTCATGAATAGTTGGGAGGTCTTATCACCAGTAAAGAATTTGATACTGTTTCTAGAAAATGAAAAACAGATGACTGAATATTGAGACATAAAAGTACTAGAAGGGGGTACAGACTTAAGTGGAACCCTAGAGGGATTCCAGGTGCCTTTGCCCCTGCCTGCATGCGTCCACACATGCTTGAGTGTGCATGCATGCAGCCCCATACACACATGTACACCCCCCTAACACGTATACCACAGGCCTGTAAGCAAAGCTGCTGCAACCCTGCATGTACCTCCAGGCAGAAAACTCACCTTAGAGACTAAAGGAAACTGCCAGGGGAGAATTACTAGTGTGGGTATTAGTGTTCCATAGTAAACTCTTCTTCTGGAAACAACAGCTGGCACCCAGTCTGGTAATTCTAAAGCAAAACTGAAGGGTCCCGGGTTCGATTCCAGCCAAGGGCATGTACCTCGGTTGCAGGCTCCATCCCTGGCCCCTGTTGGGGCATGTGTGGGAGGGAACCAATGGATGTGTCTCTCTCACATCTGTGTTTCTCTGTCCCTCCCTCCCACTCTCTCTGAAAAGCAATGGAAAAAGTAGAGTTCATAAAGCTAACTTGCATTTCCAAATTAGAAATGTATTTGCCTGTGGAGAGAAGGGGAGCCACAGGTAGAGAAAGCTGGTGCTCCACTATACATTAGCTGGGCACTGTCCTCTGGCTGTCACAGAGACCTCATCAGTAAACGCCAGCTGAGGCTTTGTCACCTGTTTTACCTGGAATGCTTTTCTCACTAAGTTTGAACTTGGCTTATCTCCCTGTGTGATCGTCCAGCACCTTCCTAGCGGAGAAGCGACTTCAGCCCCTACTTCCGGCTCCTTGATTCCTTCTTGCCCCCACTCAGCCGTGAAGTAGGGACGCCTTCCCGCTGGGGGACGCCTTCCGCTTATCCTCCAGGTGGGTTTCTCCTTCTTAGGAATGACTTAGCTGGCCTTTCCTCAGTCATTCCCCACTTTTCCCGTGTCTTTGAAATTTCCAGTGCGGTGATTATATCTGGATTCTAATATTGATTCCAATTTTTTGCACCTATTTTGTATTTCTCTGGTAATTTCAAAGGGTAATTTAGATGGTGAAGGAATCCTGAACTTACTCATTTCTTTTACTGATATTGCGGGTTGAGGGTTTATTAAGTCAGCTAGCTCTACAGGGTACTCATTCTGCATTGTGGTTTATTGAGCTAGGAGTTTGATTACTTCTTCCATGCCCGGCTGGCGTGGCTCGGTGGTTGAGCGTCAGCCCATGAACCAAGAAGCAGCAAGCAGTTTGACTGCATGAGGGCACAGGCCCGGGTTGCGGGCTCGATCCCCAGCAGGGGGCGTGCAGGAGGCAGCCGATCCGTGACTCTCACCATTGAGGTTTCTATCTCTCCCTCTCCCTTCCTCTCTTTGAAATCAATAAAAATATATATATTGAAAAAAAAGTTTAATATCTTTGAGATGCCTACCTCGTTTTTCTTATTCCCTTTTAGGCGGTCTTATACAACGACAGATCTGTTCTGGAGAATCATCATGCTGCATCAGCTTGGAGTCTGTATCTTTCTAGCCCAGAATACAACTTCCTTCTGAACCTCGATCACGTGGAATTCAAGCGCTTTCGTTTTTTAGTCATTGAAGCCATCCTTGCCACAGACCTTAAGAAGCATTTTGATTTCCTTGCTGAATTCAATGCCAAGGTTTGTTACACAAATTAATGCCTGGTATCAAAAATGGAAATCATTGTTGTCAGTGTTACTAATAAAAGTAATATTTAATATTAAGTTAGAATCAATACTATTCACGAAGTCATGATAAATACCTACTGTAAGATAATACATATTCCAATATTTTAAAAAATGAAGTATTTTTATTATGACATTCTAAAATACTGTTGCTTGCTACATTTCCTCTGACACAGACTTGTATTATAACTTTCACACAGTGACAGATCAATTATGTCAAAAGTTTCTAAGGGATTTGAGAAAGTTGCACACAGTGCCAAGGAAGGCATTTCATGAAATGAAAGAAGCCAGTTAGGCTACTTCACCACACCTGTTACAAGTTTCTTATATATTAGTGCCTGGCTGGTGTGGGAGAGAACCTCTCCATGGAGAGCATGCACTCGCTGTGCTAAAGAATAGAGAGCAGGGCGGAGTCCCTGTCCTCGTGGGGAGGGTACTGATCAGAGCGTGGTCTATGCCTCAGACATTTCAGGTGAAAACATGGTGAAAACCACAGCGTTAGATTCCTGAGGAAAGATGCTCTCCTCTTTTGCTGGCAGGAATCTATTGTTTATTCTCTTTTTTTAACCCTCACCAGATGGCACGCGTACTGGTTTTAGAGAGAGGGGAAGGGAGGAAGAGAGGGACATTGATCGGGTGGCCTCCCATATGCGCCCCAACCGACCTGGGGTGGACCCGGGATGGAACCTGCAACCCAGGTTATCTGCCCTGATCAGACTGAACCCACAGCCTTTCAGTGTACGGGAAGATGCTCCAATCAGCTGTGCCACACCGGCCAGGGCTGGAATCTGTTGTTTTCTTGAGGAGTTTGTAACATCAAGGAAGGTACCCCTTCAGGATAGAGGCACTGGTAGCAAAGGACTGCTAGATTTAAGCCCCTGGAGGGAGACCCTATATGTTGCTGTTCTGATATTAATGAAATGCTTATAAAATTCAGTGAGAAGTCACTGTGCCTTTAAAATTACTTCATAGTTGTAAACTCTATTAACTTTTATTTTTATTTAATAATAATACATTTAAGAGCTTAAGCAGAGTAATAGGAGTTCTTACAAGAGAAAGATTATCTAACCCAGTACTTTGAAATCTCTGTTCCTCAGAGACTTCTATTCTGCAGCCTCTCAGGAAAGTGCCACTTGAGTGGAGCTCTGGACCTCCTACAGTTTCAGTCAAAAGAGCTCTCCTTTTCAGTGTTTTCATGTATTGATGGTCTGCATAAATTTTCCTTTGACAAAAGGGTTTGGTGCAGAAACACCACCATCACACAAAGAAGTTCAAAACCCACTGATCTGGCCCATTGGCTTCATTTTTTCACAAATGAAAATTTGAGTTTTTAAAAAGGCTTAGTAATTTGCCTAATAATGATAATTACCATTTAAATAGCAATGTTAGCATTTATTTAGCATTTACTATGAACTAGAGATTTTTCATTTGTTAATAATCTTCATGGCTATGTGGCTAGATTGATATTACTTTTTCTAACCTTTAGATAAAGAAAGTTAGATTCAAGAAGATTAAACAGTTTTTCCAGTGACACAATGAATTAGTAAATCATTCTGAATCAGGGTTTAAAACCAGTGTGTTCTTTCAACTATATCACGTTTGCCTTTTGCAGCTAGAGCCAGCTTCTCCTTAGACCCTTAAGTATTCTTTTTTTGAGGTAGAAAGTTACAATTCTTACATGATCTATTGACATTTTGCATATAGCATATTAATAACATAATGTGTATACACACACACAAATGATAATTCTCTGTGGTAATCACAAATATTGAAACCCATGGTTTGTTATGTTTTTATAGTCTCTGCTTCCAGTGAAACAAAGTTATAAGAACATTTCAAATTCAAGGGAAACTTAACCATAGATATAGGTCCATGCTATGGCACAAACCAAGTAAAAGAAGCATTTATTGAAATTCCTGCCTGTCATTTGGATGGGAACGTTTTAAGATAATTTGGTAGAAACAACAAAACTCCTGTGCCCTCAGAACCTAAAATAATTCCGGTTTTCCAAAATAGGCCAATGATGTAAATAGCAACGGTATAGAATGGAGTAATGAAAACGACCGCCTCTTAGTATGCCAGGTGTGCATCAAACTGGCAGACATAAACGGCCCAGCAAAAGTTCGGAACTTGCATTTGAAATGGACAGAAGGCATTGTCAATGAATTTTATGAGCAGGTAAGTGAAGCATGAGGTTGGTGGGATTTTTAGTAGATGCCATCTGAAGACATTACTCTTTGGGACTTGGATAGCTACATTAAATGTTTGAAATCTGAGTTGCTTTGACCCCAAAATAGTTAGAAATTGTTTCATTTGTTCTGGTCTTAGTATATTCTCTGCTCTTTTTGCCTTTGCTGCTAACATTTAAAACAAAAAATAGCCTATATCCTATCTCAAGTATGTTGAATGTCTAGAGGTAAGGATAGACTACATTATGATTCCAAGGTCCCTTTCAACCCTGAAGCCTATAACCTCAATAATTTATTTCTAAATGAAGTTTTCTTTAATTGACTCAGGTTACAGTTATCAACCCATTTTCAACTCTGCTATAAAAAGACTGCCTCAGAAACATCAACAGGGTCAAAGTTGTCGCAGAGGATAAGAAATTAGAGAGAAGTGGGGACAGAGTAGATCTTAATGGTTTTGAAGAATTCAGAGATATAAACATGGTCTTTTTTCACTGTTTTAAACTCTTGTCTTTAAAACTATCCTACCACTTTGCAGAATTTTTACCATTTTTTGAGGTCCACTTTTGAGGCTCTCTACAATGTAAGAGTATACTGATTTCCCCACAAGCCTAACATTTCTTTATCTCTAAAATATCAAACACATTTTTCTTGAATTTGGAATTACATTCCTTGGAAATCCTTACTGACCCTAATAATCAGAAAATATCCAGATGTCTACCACACAAGGCCTCTGGAACAGGGCTTTCTTACCATGAGTTGTAACTCCAGCAGGAGTGATAAAGTGGGCCCTGTGAATCATGCATACTACCTGTTGTGCCTTTCACACCCAGGTTGTACGAAATGACCAGTAAATGTGCAGTGTCTTTTTACCCACCTTAGCTAAAGGTCCTGACACGATAATGTATACTCTGCTGTTCATAAGTTAACAAAATTCCATACTTTGTAATTATGGACATAGATAAGTATTTCAAGATCAGTATTTTACTATTCTGATACTTTTGAACTAAATTATTTGAGTAATATATGGTTATAAAATTTGCCTGATCTGTGTATTGCAATAACCAGTTTGCATAGCCCTTTCCTTGTTCTCAAAGGTAACTGAAGCCTGCTTTCAGGCTTTCCTTTGTGTTCACAAGAATTTTATGCTAAGGAAAATGCCATCTTTATTATTATCATCTTTATATTACAGAGGTAATAAAAAAGTATTAGTATATGCCAGTTTTAGAAACCTCATTAATTCAGTGAAAGAACGTTTGAAAAGTTCATTTAGATCCAATTTATAATATAGTTATTTTTAAAGTAGATTAATAGATTAATTCTTATTGAGCAAACTTGGAAGCCATGCGTGAGGTTGAATCCTGGCTCCTCTTTCTTACCAGCAATGTGACCGTGGGTAGGTTACTTAACCTCTCTGTGCCTCAGTCCCCCTGTTAATAAATTGGTGGTACCTACCACATAATTTATTTAATCCTCACAGCAACCTTAATATATGTAAAGTCTTAGAAAAGTTCCTGACACATAAGTGCTCCATAAATGTTAGCAATTATAATTCCCGATCTATCACTAAAAATCATATATTTCAGACAGTATCACTTAATCTTTCTAGGTTTCATTCTTCATACATCAAAGAGAAAAATGACACTCTACCATAGAGTTGTCGTGAAGGTTAAATGTACTGATCGATAGGAAAGTTCTAGTTAACCCTCATCAAAACTATTACATTTCCTCTCATTCTAGCCATGCTCTTAAAAATCTTTCAGATATGGAGGCAAAATTCTAACCTTGCCCATCTTTTTATCATTGTAATTGTACTAGCTTTATACTCCTCTAAGTGCCATAGGCTTAGATAAGCCAAACTTCTAGTCCCCCCACCCCCTGCCAAAAAAAGTGTTAAACCTATGAAATTGTACAGTCCTATGGACAAACCCAACTTGTTGTGTGTGTTTTTTAACATTAATAGTTATCTTCCTCATAGAAGGTAAAGTCATAGGTAAAATCACAGCACAGTTAAGTCACTGGGACAGTTTCTGCTGGTGTCCTCGGGAGTATGTGGCCCATCTTGCCTGCAGCATTTGTGCACTGTGCAGAGCATTCATTTACTCCCAGCTCAGGCACTGGGAACCAAAATATCAATAGTACCATTTGGAGAATGCTCAGCACTGTGCTCAACACTTCCTACAGTATTGCTCTCCATCCTCTTGCGACCCTGTAAAGTCGATTCTTAACATTTTACACATGAATTGAACATAGAGCTTGCCTAACACCCTATAGGTAGTAGATGGCAAAAGCAGGTTTTAGACCCACATCTGTCTGATCTCAAATTGCGCTCTCCAGAACCCCAGAGGCACAGTGCGAGGGCATCTCAGGGCAAGCAGTCGGCGCTCTGGGCCCAGAATCCTCACCTCAGCCACACAGTAGCTCTACTTTTGTTTTACATACTGGGTTTTGTGGCATCTTGGGGGAGATTCATGGGAGGGCTCTGCTGTTACAAAAGGTGGGGAGGGTGTTGAGAAGCATTTGCAAAACTCACACTGTGTGCATTTGCGGAACCACTACATCAACAAAAATGTTTCCCTTCCACAGTCTCCCCCTGGGGCAAAGAGAGTCTGTATTTGACATTAAGGAATGTGGCCGGCTGTTAGTAAATTTGCTAATACTCATTTTAAAAGATGTATATTTTTTGTTAACTGAGTATCAGGCATACTAGTTGACTGGTGGAGTGTGAGAATCAAGTTTTGTGTAGGATTTCTCAGATATTAGAGAAAGTCTTAGAGTTGAAATGAGAGTAATAGATTCATTGATGCATTTTTGTAAAAATTATTTTGATGTTAGAGTATGCTTATTTTAAAAAGCTCAAGATAACAGCAAAGCTTAGTGTGTGTTCTCTCAACAGTTAAAAATGCACTTTTCTTTTTAAAAAATGATCAGGGAGACGAAGAAGCCAATCTCGGTTTGCCCATCAGCCCCTTCATGGATCGATCCTCTCCGCAGCTGGCCAAGCTCCAGGAGTCCTTCATCACACACATCGTGGGCCCCCTGTGCAACTCCTACGATGCTGCCGGTCTGCTCCCAGGCCAGTGGGTGGAAGCGGAAGAGGAGGAGGATGCCGAGAGTTGTTACGATGACGATGGTGAAGAGTCCGATACAGATGAGGAAGAAATAGAAGACAACCTGGATCCCAGTAAGGACAGAGTGCCCCTCTTCAGTCAGGGTTCTGCACTGGAAATGTCCACTTTACTTGGGTTTGGATCTTTGTTTTTAAGATACAGATTCAGCAGCCTTATCTTGAACAGCCACTGTTCCGCTCAGACGGAACAGTCTCGATTTGAGGAGCTGCTGTGGGCTGGGTACCCGGTGCTCATGCCGTCACACAGGCAGCTTCGTAGCTAAGGAAGCATAGCAGCCGGTGAGGTGGTGTCCCCCAGCCAGTGCTGCTCAGCAGGCTGCGCCTGTGCACACTGGGTAGCGGTCACACCTGAGCACATGGGAGGTGGGCGGCCCGACCGGCTGGTAGTCCTGTACCCCACCCCCTTCCCTGCCTGCTAGCCTGCCCTTCACACTCGGGAAATGGGCCAGAGCCGTCGGGAGAACGGACTGAGGAGAGCCAGGCTTCGTGGCATTATGGATTTTAATTACGAAACTTCAGGGACACAGTTTTCTATATAAGGCAAAGAGTATAAATGGAAAATGGAAACATTTGTCACCTTTGACTCTGTCAATGAAGTCAGTTATTTGCTCTTTAAAGTAGAATTTAGCCCAGCTGGGCATGGCTTAGTGGTTGAGCATTGACCTAGGATCCAGGAGATAGAGGTTCGATTCCCGGGCAGGGCATATGCCTGGGCAGCGGGCTCAATCCCCAGTGACTCTCTTGTCATTGATGTTTCTGTCTGTGTCTGTCTCCCTCTCCTTTCCTCTCCCTGAAATCAATAAAGATGTATCTAAAAAAAAAAAAAATTAAATGATATCAAATTACTGTTTTCCAAGAACGCTGTACATCAGGACAGATCACTACAAAGAACTCCACCCCCCCCCACACACACCAAGTTGTTTTCAGCATTAGCGTAGCGAAGGGTAATCTTATATCATTACCGTCTGGGTATCATCTGGGAAAGCTGACTGGCTTCTAAACATTTCTTCTCGCCAAAAAAACCTTTTTTTTAATCCTTACCCAAAGATATGTTTTCATTGATTTTTAGAGAAAGAGAGGGAAGAAGAGAGAGAGAAACATTGATCGGTTGCCTCCCATGTGCCCCAACTGGGGATTGAACCTGCAACCCAGGTATGTGCCCTGACTGGGAATCAGACCTGCAACTTTTGGGGGGGGGTGGTACAGGATGATGTTCCAGCCAACCGAGGCACCCAGCCAGGGCTACTCACCAAAATTTTGGTAAGTGTTTAATTTAATACATAAAAAAATCCTTAAAAGGCTGGTTTTGACTGTTATCATTTGAAATTTCAGTACCCCCCGCACACCGTCACATTTCTCTTATTTGCTTCTGTAGGTTCCCCAGGGCAGCGATTATTTTTACCTTTTTTTTTTTTAATATATCTTTATTGATTTCAGAGAGAGGAAAGGAGAGGGAGAGAGATAGAAACATCAATGATGAGAGAGGCATTGATCAAGCCTACAACCGGGCTTGTGCCCTGACCGGGAATCAAACCCCGGTCGCCTGGATCCTAGGTCGATGCTCAACCGCTGAGCCACACCCGGCCGGGCTATTTTTACCTTACTGTCTGTCTCTGTAACGCTGGTGCGTAGAGCCTCGCCTGGAACACCAGTGCGCGTATTTACTGAGTGACCCAAATGTGTATGTATTTCACCTTCACAGAGCCGCAGAGAAGGAAAGGCAGGCGGCGAATATTCTGCCAGCTGATGCACCACCTCACCGAGAACCACAAGGTGTGGAAGGAGATGGTGGAGGAGGAGGAGAAGTGCCCAGCGGAGGACACTCAGCCGCAGGCGGAGGGCGCGCCCATCCCTCAGGCCGACGAGATCCAGGTCATCGAGGAGGCGGACGAAGAGGAGGAGAGACAGTGCGAATGACCGAGACCTACCGAAGCAGCCCGGGCTGTGCCCAGGGTCGGCGGTCGGTGCCTCATGCTCACTGTGCTGACTTTCAACTTGACCGTCCCCGTGGACAGGCCGTCAAACTGTGAGGATCCTCGCGGTGCCCGGGGACTCCCGCCCTAACACCTTCCCTAAGAACTAGAGGCTATTCCTAGAGCTTGGCTGCACCTGACTCATGTCGCAAAGCTCTCTCAGTGCCTCCCCTGGTCTGTGAGTCCCTTGTCTCCATACAGCTTCGTAGGTGGAAAGCACTAATTTTCCATGAGGGGTGGCTGCAACTAAAAGCTCAAGTGACTTACTGCAGTTTCCAAAGTGGCCAGAACTTTCTGCTTTCATGAAGACAGGATTCATACTGTATTTCCATGTGTCCTCTGTCTTTGAATGTTTTGGGGAAAGAAAAAAAAAGTCTGTGCCTATTTAAGAAGGAATCCAGTGTCTCCTTTCCGAGGGATCTGTTCAATGCAATACACTGTCGAGTGCTGTTTTCCCAGCTAATCTTCCCCACGAAGGACTGAGTGACCTTTGTTATATTTAACAAAATCCAGGCGCATCGATTTCTGATGCTTTTTACTGTTGTGTTATTATTTACTGTGTGTTTTGTTTCTTGCTCTTATTGCTCAGATTTGCCGTGGACATCAGAAGTCTGAATTCTTGCCTTTTTCACTTTATATTCCATGGTCAAATTTTAAAGCTGTTGAGATTTAACAATGAAGGAAATTTTTTATTCTTTACTCAGAACTGTTCTTATTTTTACTCTTGCTCAGGATTAGTATTTTTAAACATTCAATTATTATAATCACAGCACACATTTTCAGAAGAAAAAACTTTTTCTTAGTATTGATATTAACCTTTTATGAAAAGGAGCATAATTTTCCCTTTTCTTAGAAAAATGAGACCAATTAAAGCCACGGAAAAGGTGTGTCTTTTGCCTTAATATAAAACAAATGAGACTGATCCTGTCAAAGACAAAGAACAAAGGAAATAGTGTGAGCTCTGAAGGGCACATACGTTAAATAACCTATTGGAATGTGTACTTATTTTTAGATCTGCTTCGGTGCCACGTGTTTAGTTACTGTAAAACTGACGTTCATCTTTCTATTCCTGTCCTTTTGCCTCGAGAAAACACAACAGAAATGACCTATGACTACTCAAAACTTCTAGAGCCCAGTGCAAGTCTAATTTCTGAGATAAAGTAAATGGTGAGAATACATATTTAATTTTTATATAACAAATCTAAATATTTTAGTAAATCATTTCATGCAAAAGCACGTTGCACATTATTAAGATAACTGCAAAGAAAATGGAACATATTTACAATGTTTTTAAGCTTGTTAGTTTCTGCTGGGGTACATCTATACCTTAGTGCGAAAAAATTGTGAAGATATAAAGAGCAGCCAAAGTGATAGCAAGATGGTAGACGAGCATTTCTTCTTACTCGTGGAAGACCATAGTACATTTTGGAGCCGTTCAGCTTCTGTAGACATTAAAATCATTAATTTTCCAAGGTAAGTCCTTTAAAAAATGATGTCAGCAGGCAGTTTCTTACCTACCTAGAATAGAAGAGTTGGCTTACCTGAAAGATACCAATTTACAATCTATGGAACTGTTGGATGTTTTGATCCTGCAGAGTATCATAATTTTTCATGAATCACTAAGACTTATTTATTAGACATGGTGAGTGCCGAGTTCCTTCCTGCCACTTTTGTTACCGTCGCCACATCATCTGTAAACTGGCCCCACATAACTGAGTAATAAAATTTTAACTAATTTACTGAGTTTGCATTTGTATACATATCTTGTGCTTCTGCTTCTCCAGAGTGCATCTTGCATCTCTCATACTCCTGCTACTGCCAAGTACACGTGTGTGTATAAATTCACACCTGTGCATGTGTGCACGAAAGAGTCAGATTTCCTTACTTTCTATTATTTCATTAAAATTTTGTATTGGGATTGTTTTAGTGTACATTTGTATTTTCTTAAAAGAAGCATATTCTTCTATTAAAATACTGTTACTGAGAAGGCACTTTTAAATAATTTAACTTTTTAAATTATTTAGCCTTTGCTAAATAATTGACATATTAAAATAGCTCACACACTAAAAAAGCAACCTTGCTGAAAGTTAAACTCATAAGTAATGACTGTAAGAGTTTATTAAGTATAAGTAGTGCTGCTAGAAGGAATCTTGAGAAATTGCCATAAGCCATACTGTAGATCTGATTTTGGTTACTACTCAATCAGATTAATTTTTATTATAATAATTTTCATCATGAATCTGTTACTGTTTTAACATTCACTGCTCTTAGAAATAACCTTGTAGTACTATACTTTATCTATGTGCTTACTGACATTTTTTTCTCCATAAAAATCTACTTTTTAAAGTTACGTCATGATTTGAAGGCTGTTTCCTGCTAGTCTCACTTATTTTGCTGGTGCTCTTGGCTTTTTCTACTTATTTTTACAAGAATCCTGGAAATTCTGGCATTGCTTAAGTAGTCAGAAATTTCCTCTCTCTCTAGATTACATCATCGCATAAAAACAAACTTTACCGAAGAGGTGAAAGTCTTTATTATAGTTGCCAGGCTCATGTGAGTGGTCTAGAGGGTGTGGGAATGGCGAGTGGCATGTGGAACAGGGATGAAGAGCTTCCCAAAGGCAAGTGACTTTTATGCCGAGAACCTGAAGATTGAGTTAGCTTGGCGGTGACAGCTTGTGGGGAGAGAGCAACAGCATGTGTAGCGCCAGAAGAGAAAGCACCCCCACCACTGGCGGAGCCGAGATTCAGGGTGGCTGGAACAATGCGAGAGGGAGTGGTAGAGAGACGGTGGTTAACGGAGGGCCTCGTGAGCAGGGCATGTCATTTAACCTTCTAAGGAAAAAGGGGAACAATTAAGTTTTCATGTGGAAGAGTCACATATTAGATTCACATTTTATGAGGCCACTCAACATACTATGTGGAATGGAAGAGTAAGATTAGATGCAGGGAGATCCCAGTGATCTGGACTAGGATAGACCGTAGAACTACAGGGAAGTAAACGCTGATGTTGCTGGTCTGTCAACCACACGTGGGGTAGCAAGGTTCTAAAACAAGTACTTTAGGAAGAAGAAAAATGACCCCAGAGGGGAGATCTGAGGTGCATGATGGAAAGGAAAAGCAAAGAAATTAATAAACAATTTGTTGGGTAAAGCTATAAACAATCATTTAAATGAACTAAAAATATTTTGTGAGGTTTAAAGGAAAAAAAAAAAAAAAAATCCTGGGTTAACAAAAATACATTATTCAAGAAAGTGTAATTAAAGTTGCCTTAGGATCTTGTATAGTTAGTTTAGGAGACAGATTAAGATATTAACTTTAAACTTTGTTAAATTAGGTATATATGCTAAAATGCAAAGAAGAGCTACTAAAATTTTAAAAATAAAGTATATAACTTCTACACCAGTAAAGGGATAACAACAAACTAATAAAAATGCAATAAATGAGAGGGAAAAAATCAATAGGGCAAATGGGGGGAAAAACTAAATAGAAACAAATTTTAAAATATCAACACCCACAAGAAATGTAAGATTTTCCAGTACAAAAATAGTGACAATTAGGTTTTTTTAAAAAGCAAACATTTATGTAATACAATGTGTTAATTATTGTTATTGGTAATTTGTGACTTGTATATATTAATTCATTTTATCACAACCCTTATAAAATACATACTGTATTATATGTTTTAAAGAAGAGGAAATTTGGACCCATAAAATAAATGTACTTATCTAATAAAATAGTCTCAAAGATCCACAAATCAAAAGTTGGTAGCACTATAGAGAAAACTTGAAAAATCCACAACCTGAGTAGGTTTAACACACTCAGTAAGTTAAACAGAACAAAAGGTAATAAAAATATAAATAAACAGCACAATGATTTATAGGACGTATACAGAACCAAAACCCAACAATTAGAGAATATTTTTTTCTTAAATATCCAAAGAGCAAATTTATAAAAGTTGACCATGTGCTTGTCTATAAAGAAAACCTTAATGAATTTCAGAGAATATCATACAAACCATCCTCTGACCACAAGGCAATTAGAAATAATCAACAAGAAAAATAACCTTGAAAACAATGAATGCTTCATAGATTTAAGAAATTGCTCCTAAATAACGCCAGGGTCAAAAAAGTCATAGTAGGAATTTAAATGTAAGTAGACATAAATGATAATTAAAATATCTATACTACCTTCCAAAATTTATGAGATGCCATGAAAATGCACTTGAAGGGAAACCTATAGCATTCAGTGTTTTTTAGGAAAAAAGGCTAGCAATGAGCAAAGTGTCCAACTTAAGTTAGAAAAAGAACAGAATGTAGATACACCGTGAGGTATAAAATCATATGATCATCGCAATAGATGCAGAAAAAGCATTTGACAAAATTCAACATCCATTCATGATTAAAATTCTCAACGAAGTGGGTGTAGAGGGAACATACCTCAACATAATAAAGTCCATATGCTTGAGTGGGCAACCTGGGCATGTGCCCTGACAAGGAATGGAACCAGCAACAATTGGTGTCCTGGACGATGGCCAGCCACACTGGCCAGGGCAACAATCCCATTTTAAATTGCACCAAATAAATAAATAAAACCCGTAGGAATATATTTAACCAAGGAGCTGTAAAAGACCTGTAACTCAGAAAATAAGACATTGTAAAAAGTACAAATAAATGAAAGTATATACCATGCTCATGGATAAGAAGAATTAACATGGTTAAAATGTATGCAAAGCAATCCATAGGTTCAATGCAATCCCTATCAAAATACCATTGGCATTTTTCACAGAACTAGAGCAAATAATCCTGTAATTTATATGGAACCACAAAAGAAGCCGAATAGCCACAGCAATCCTGAGAAAGAACTACAAAGTTGGAGGCATCATACTACCAGATATCAAACTACACTACAAGACTATAGTAATAAAAACAGCATGGTACTGGCATTAAGAAAAAACATATATTGACAGAATAGAGAGCTCAGAAATAAACCCACGCCTATATGGCCAATTAATCCATGACAAAGGAGGCAAGAAGATAAAATGGGGTAAAGATAGTCTATTTAATAAATGGTGTTGGGAATACTGGTCAAATACAGGCAAAAAAAGTAAAACTAGACCACCTTCTTACAACACATACAAGAATAAACTCAAAATGGATTAAAGACTTAAATGTAAGACTCGAAATCACAGAACTATAAGAAAATGTAAGGGTGCATGAAGAAACAAGATGGTGAGTAGGTAACAGCTGCTCCTGCCGCCTCCCACAACCACATCAAAATTACAACTAAAATACAGAACCACCATCCCTCAGAGCCTCCTGAATCTGGCTGCACAGAAGCCCCACAACCAGGGAGCTGAAGAAGCAACTAGACCGGGGGGAGGGGCAGGGATGTGGGCGGATTGGGGCTGAATCGCAGAGATGCCGCAGTGGGCCCACACCCGGTGCTGTGGTTTAAACCCAGGAGGGAATCTCAGCGGTGGGGGTTTCCCAGAGGAGTGAGGGGTCCCAGCCCCACAGCAGGCCCCAGCCCAGGGTCTCAGGGCTGGGAAGAGACGTCCCCACAAC